ACCTACCACGTCCTCATGCGCGGCAGCGACGGCACCAGCATGTGGGCAGACCTCTGCAAGAACGGGCAGGTAAGGGCTGCCCGTCCCGGCTCCCTCCGCAGGCACAGGAGCGGTACTGCCCCCGCCAAGCACTGGAGAAGGGCTCTGGATTCTTCCTCGGAGTGCCCCCTCCTTTTCCCAGCCCCAGGGATGTCTCCCCAGGGTGTCATATCTTTCTCCCAGCGGCAATGATGGGCTCTGGGTGCATCCCTGGGGGGCCACATCCTTCTCCCAGCCACAGACATGCACCCCTGGGGTGCTTCATCCTTCTCCCAGGGGTGAAGATGGGCTCTGGCTGCACCCTGGAATGCCCTGTCCTTTTCCCAGGGATGTGACCCCAGGATGCTCTGTCCCTTTCCTGGAGGCAGTGATGGGCTCTGGGTGCATTTCCAGGGTGCCACATCCTTCTCCTGCCCATGGATCCGTAACCCCTGGGGTGCCCCGTCCTTCTCCCGGGGACATGGAGGACTCTGGGTGCACCCCTGGTGTACCCTGTCCTGCTGCCAGCCCTCAGCGTGCTCCATCCTTCTCCCAGCCCTGGAGATGCTCCCTCAGGATGTTCCATCCTTCTCCCGGTGATGGGCCCTGGGTGCACCCCTGGGATGCCCTGTCCTACTCGCTGCCCCAAAGGAGCACACCTGGGGTGCCCCATCCTTCTCCCAGGGACAGTGATGTGCTCCAAGTGCCCGCCAGAGAGAGCTCCATCCCCCTCCCATCCCCAAACATGCTCCCCCGGGTGCCCCGTCCCTGTCCCCCATCCCCTCTGTACTGGGGACAGTCACCACCCACCCTGTCATGTCCCCAAGTGTCCCTCAGTCCTTTCCTTGGCCCTAGAGATGTGCCCTGCTGTGCCTTGGGGTACCTTAGGACATCCCCACAGCACCCCCAGGGTGCCCTGCCCCCCCTGGCCGTGCCATTGTCCCCGCTGGGGTCCCTGGGGGGGGGCAGGGACAATGTCTGTGGTGGTCTCAAGGGGGGGGACAATGTCTATGGTGGTCTCAAGGGGGGCAGTGCCTGCCCCGCTTTTGGGGGGCTGCACCCCCAGCCCAGAGCTGGTTCTGCTGCTGCTGTGCCAGGGGAGATGTCCCCACCCCTGGCCAGGCTGTGTGGGGACACCGGGAGGACACACATCCTTCCTTCCCCCTCCCCGCTCCCACATCCCCCCGACTCCATCCAGCTGAACCCCCCAAACCCAAGACTCAGCCTTGCCTCCCTGCATTTCCAGGCGCTCCTTTCCCATCTCATGTGCCCCCCCGGCCACGACTCGAGGGACAAGATGTGGCTGTGACCCCCGAGCTGTCACCCGAGCTCCATTCTCTGGATGTCACCACAGCCCAGCACCCTTGCCAGGATCCATCCCATCCCACCCCGCTCCCGCTTCCCATCGCTTCCCTCGGCATCACCCCCTGCGGTGCCTCCTTGTCCCGAGGATGTGGGACCCCGAATTAACCCAAAACTGAGTTTTCACCTCAAAAAGCAGCCAGGAGGTGGGGGTAGGCAGGAGCCTTGTCACAGCCACTGCACTTCATCCCTCGGCTCTGAGCCCTTCCGAGCAGGAACAGGAGCTGCTCGGCAGCTTTTCTCCATGCATACAGCTTAAATTTCCTTTTATTGGGATTTTTTTTTTGTCTTCTCCCACCATCCAGCCCCAAATTTTGGGGTATCCCAGCACTGCTTGGCACTGCTGGCTCTTCCTCCCAAGCAGCATCCGTGTAACTCTGAACTGAGCACCCCAAAAACTCACTTTGACCCTTTTGCCTCCCCTAAAACATATCTGGGGACCACGCCAAACCTCCCCACCCCCCAGCTCTGGGGGATATCGATGTTCTTGGATAAATGTCCAGGAGCTGGGGAGCCCCTCGTCGAGAGGAGCCTCACTTGGGCGGGTGATGCAGCTTAATTAACTGCTTGTTAATTACTAACAGGGCATCGCCGTGACGGTATCTATGACAAAGTTCCCCCCAAAAATGCCCCAAATAATTAAAAAGATGGGGTTAATTAGGGGTTTGTTGCCAAAAAATCCCTGTCCCTGGCAAGCTGGGGGAGCCTGGCGGATAAGCGTTGATCTGGCACCTTTGGAGGGAGTCAGGATGTGGGGGGCCCCCCAAATTTCCTCTTGTGCTGCCGATTTGGGGGCAGCCCATCACCCTTGTGTCAGGGCTGGAGTTAATGAGAGCCAGGGGAGCTGCTGCTGGTGGTTAATTAGCATTATTTATTTTTTGTATTAGCCCGTAGCTGAGGCGAGGGGCAGTGGGAGGGGGGAGATGGATGGACAGACAGATGGATGGACAGGGAGGTGGCACCAGGTGGCTTTGGAGTCCCCATGGTGGGGTGAGGGCCGTCCATGGCTCAGGGAGGGGCACAGCCCCAGGAGACCCCAGTGGGGACAGTCCCCAAGGGCACACAGGGACCTGCCAAGCGGTCCTGGGGACACCCGTTGCCCTGCCTGGGGGGCCAGGGGGGCACCTGCTGCTGCACCCAAGGGCCCTGAGGGGCACCCACTGCCGTGCCCAGGGGGCCTGGAGGGGCACCCAGTGCTGGGCTAAGGGGATCTGAGGGGCAGCACCCACTGCCATGCCCAGAGGGTCTGAGGGGGGCACCCACTGCTGTGCCCAGGGGGCCTGGAGGGGCACCCAGTGCTGGGCTAAGGGGATCTGAGGGGCAGCACCCACTGCCATGCCCAGAGGGTCTGAGGGGGGCACCCACTGCTGTGCCCAGGGGTGCTGGGAGGGCACCTACCACAATGTCTGGGGATCCTGGAGGGCTCCCAGGGCCGTGCCCAGGGATCCTGAGGGGCACCTGCTACTGCATTTGGGAGTCTGGGGAGCACCTGCTGCCACACCTTTGGGGTCCCAGGCCATGGTGGCCATGGCATGTGGGGCACACGACGTGCCCGAGGCCCCAGGTGTCACCGTGAGTGGCTCTGCCTAGACATGGGAGCACCCCACTGCCCCTCGTCGCCCTCAGAAAGCCCTTGGGTGCAGCCCACCCCCTTGGAGACCACCCCAGAGTGTCCCCAGGGCCAGGGACACCCCCAGCGCCATCACCGGGGTCAGGGGCAGCGGGCACAGCACAGTCGGGGCTGGGGCTGTGTCACCCCCGGGGCTCCCACCCCATGGCTGTGCCACAGGGAAACTGAGGCACGGAGCAGGACAAGGGGGGTGAGGCCATCGGGGGTGGGTGGAAGCCCCCTCTTCTGCGCCAGCGCGGTGCCAGGAGCCTGGGCCCAGCACTGCCATTTATCTTCCCTGGTTAGGGAAGTGTACAAGTTTCGAGCTGGCTTCCCGCCAAGTCTCCGAAACTTGACAACAAAGGCCTGCTTTCCAGAGAGGGAAGTAAAAAACGAACCAAGCAGCCAAAGCTATAGCAAAAATATATATATTTTACATATAAAACAGATATATATTGTGAGAATATTATATACTATAACCCCAGAAACCCTAAATAGCTTCCTAAAAGGGAAGAGGGGGAGGGAGAAGGGAAAAGGACAAAATAGGACAAAAAGGGACAAAAATAAAACAAGTCTACACAGTCTAAAAATCTGGTAACCAGCAAACTGAAGAATTGGCAAAATCTCACCACTTCCCTTGAGAGAAGCAGGATGGCTGGACATGACCCAGCACTCTCCCCTCATGCGTGGCAGATAACAGCTGTCACTCTAGGCCTCAGCTCTAGATAAGCAAGACCGAGACAGGGACCCACCGTTCTCGAACCTCGCTGGAAAGGAAGAGAGCGAGGTCCCTTCCACTGGCTTTATTTATACCTCAAGTTATGTAATAGCATGGAATACTTCCGTGATCACCTTCCTAGTTCCTTCCTGTTTACAAGCTGGTCTCCAGGAAGGCCTAGAGTGAAACTATCACAGGCAGGCAAGCAGTGACAAGGCAGCTTCTTAAAGAGGGAAGACAGATGGCACCGGACGGCTCTGGCTGCCACAGGGGGGGGACCATGGCAAGAACCTGGCACCAAACCTGTTTTTTCCTGTTTCTCCTGCTTCTTCCCCCTCTCCTCTTCCTTGGCAGAGGCAGCGTCCCCTGGAGATTGCGGTGCTGTGACAGATGGAGATTTCCCAGGGACACTCATGGTGGCGGGGAAGACACAGGGTGGCTTTGAACAGAGTGACAGTTCTGGTGGTGGCATGAGGCTGGGCGGGATGAGAGCAAATCCTGTGGGATCCCTAGCTGGGCCATCAATAGGTTCCAGAGTTAACAGCATCTGACCACACCATCACTGCCTGTGGGCTTGGGTTGGTGCATTTGCATCCCCGAGGAGCAGCAGACTCCAGGACCCCTGTCCTGGAGGCAAAGGACAGGACTCCGTGGGCACAGCCCTCCCGTTCCCACTGCTCCCAGACCCCGGTGCCTGCCTGCCCAGCACAAGCCAATTAAGAGCTGATTCTGGTCGGCTGTAATTAGCGGCACCTTCTCCCAGCGCAGCACTTCTGCATTTCAGCAGCCGCCTTGTCACTGTCACCCAGCGCCGCAATCTCTCCGCGAGGCGCCGGCAGAGATTTGATTACCCAAAGAATTCTGCAGTGGCAGCGGGTCCAGCCGTGGAGCTGCTTCTCCAGGCGGTGACGGCTCCTCTGGCTCTGCCGGCACCTCCCAGTGTCGCGGTCCGAAGGGAGGAGGGGACAGGACACGAGGAAGGGTGCAAGCAGATTTGATAATTCAGGCGTGCGCCCGATTCTTAACCGTCCCGCCAGGGAAAGGGGGCAGAACATCGGGTGGGCTATCAGACAGACAAATGGGGGAGCAAATCAGAACAGGGCACAGGCAAAAGGGGGAGGAGGAAGCCTGGGCATGTGCAGTTGTGCACTGCGTAGCATGAATACAGTGAAACCACATAATAACAGTAAAGTCCATATGAAAGTCCTGCCAATTGCTGTATGCTTTTCTCCATGCCTGGAACTGTTCCCATCCTGAATCTTGCTTCTCTACATCCCAGCACATCCCGGCTCCCAGGAGAGCTCTGTGGGGAGAGCATCCCGCGGGTTGGGGTCCATGTGAGGGGGGGATCTGGGGGGGATTTGAGCTCAGCCCTTGCCACACGCTTGTGGTCCTTGTTCAGCTCGTGGGAAGCACTGAGGGATGTGTGGGATTCAGTGGGCTGGGAGATGGGGTCCTGCATCCCAGGCATGGTCCTGTATCCTAATCCAGAGATGGGGCCCTGTGTCTGAGCCATGGTCCTGCATCCAAATCCGAAGCTGGAGTCCTGTGTCTGAGCTGGGGTCCTTCAACAAAACCTGGATCTAGGTTCCATGTTGGAGCTGTGATCCCACATCTGAATTGGGAGCTGGGGTCCTGTGTCCTAGATGTGGTCCCACATCTGACTCTGGATCTGGGGCTCTGTCTCTGAGCTGGGGTCCTGCATCCAAATCCTGAGTTAGGGTCCTGTCTGTGTGCCATGGTCCCATGTCTGGTCCTGCATCCCAACCCAGACTGGGGTCCCATGTCGGAGCTGTGGTCCCACATCAGAACCCAGAGCTGTGGTCCTGCATCTGATTCCAAATGCCACAGCAGCATGTCTGTACCATGGTTCCCCACCCAAACTCAGAGCCGTGGTCCCTTATCTGTACCCACCAGGTCAGGGAGAGGCTCTGGGGGATGCCCGGAGCAGCCTCACCCATGCGAGACCTGTTCACCCATGGGTGCGGATCCAGGGGGGTGCAGCCCTCTGGCTGCAGGTGAGCTGGGACCAGAGTGTCCCGTGGGCCCCATGGGCTGTGGCGTGCCCTTAGCCAGTCCCGCGGTGTCCCCTGGACAGGTCCTGTCCAGCGCCATCGCGCAGGACGCCGACCAGAACTACGACTACGCGAGTAACAGCGTCATCCTGCACCTCGACGCGGGGGACGAGGTGTTCATCAAGCTGGATGGGGGCAAAGTCCACGGCGGCAACAACAACGAGTACAGCACCTGCTCTGGCTTCATCATCTACTCGGACTGAGCCTGGACCCACGGCATCGGCCCCGGCACCCCTCTGACCCCCCAGCCCCACGGCATAGGCCCCAGACCCCTGAACCCCAAGCCCCAATCAGGGCATCCCTGTGTCCGCGGGTTCAGCCCCAGGCACCCTCCAAATCCCCATCCCCAGCAGCATCCCTGGGCCATGGTTCCCTGCTGCCCCACAGCCCCCATGGCCTTCTCTTGCTCCCACCCAGCCCCACAGCATCCCCCTGCCATGGTCCAGCCCATGGATCCCCTCCCACCTGGTGCTCTCGGCTTCCCATGGCGCCCCAAAGCCCCCTTTTCCCATTAAGTCACTCCGTAGCTGGGGAGGCCCATTAAGTTGAGGGCTTGGGGCTACAGAGGGTTTGGGCGGGTGGCAAAAAGGCTGGGGGACCTCCTGCACTGCGCCTAACTGCAACCCCCCCCCGGCTGAGCCTCCCCTTGTCCCCCGGTGCCCCATCCCTGCTGTTCCCCCCCTCCCTGGGGCGGTGCCGGGAGTCTGGCAGAGTGGTCCTGATGTACAGACATGCAGTGCCCACACGGCCCCGGGCTGGGGGGCTGCACTGGGGGACGGGGGGAGCTGCCAGTCTGCCCCTCCTGGGGCAACAACATGGTAAAGCAGAGCTGTGACCTCTCCCCATCTGCTGTCTGTGTCCCCGGTGTCCCCCACCATGGGGACGGGTTTCTTCTGCCACCCTCCCCCAGACCCCACTTAGCTCATCCAAGCCCAGACAGGAAGGGTTCCCTGGCTCCAAGTGCTTGTGGCCCCTCTGCCACCTCCACTGGTGACGCTGGGGGTGCCACCACTGCCATGTCCCTGTCCCTAGAGGCTGGGTGGCCTCATGAAGGGGACACAGCATTGCCACTGTGAGAGGGGGACACGGTCAGGCCACACAGAGGCACTGGGACCCTCGGGCACACATGCCCGTCCCTGCTGCCTCGGTGTGGGCAGGATGTGACCCAATTAGAGGTGACAGCAGGTGCTCGGGGCCAGCGGCTGCATCCAGAGTGGCCGTGGTGGGGTCAGAGGATGGGTGCCCTGGGAACATGGGGGTGGGGGCGAGTATCCCCCCGATGCGTGGGGGTGTTCCCCAGGGGTGGGTGAGTGGGGGTGTGTGTCCCCAGATGTGTATGTGTGCTCCCAGGTATGGGTGTGTCCCCAGGTGTGTGTGTCCATGTCCCCCAGGTGTGTATGTGTCTCAGGCCTGTGTGTGTGTGTCCCCTAGGTGTATGTGTGTCCAAGGTGTATGTGTGTCCCCAGGTGTGTGTGTCCATGTCCCCCAGGTGTGTGTGTGTCCCAGCCTGTGTGTGTGTGTCCCCAAGTGTGTGTGTGTCCAAGGTGTATGTGTGTCCCCAGGGGTGTGTGTTTGTCCCCAGGTGTGTGTGTGTGTCCATGTCCCCCAGGTGTGTGTGTGTCCCCAGTTGTGTGTGTGTGTCCCCCAAACCCTGGTAGGTCCGGGTGCTGTTCCCTGGCACTGATCCCAGCTGCAGGCGTAGAGGCGGTGGCGGGGCCGGGCTGTCGGCCGCAGCCCCGAGCAAAAGGGCCACAGCCCCAGCCTGGGGGTCCCGGGACCCTCCAGGACCCTCCCGGACCCCCGGGGCTCTGGCCCACCGCTGTGCCGGGAGCCGCCGGCAGGGGGCGCAGAAAGCGGTGAGACTACAGCTCCCATGATGCCTCACGCGGCCGCGGGACTGCAGCTCCCATGAGGCAACTCGGGGCGCGGCCAATGGGGAGTTGTGAGGCAAAGCGGGGCCAATCAGGGCGCGGGGCGGGGCTTCGCGACCAATTTAAAACCGGCGGCGGGAAAAGGGGAGTCGCAGTATCTGAGAGAGCCGGGGCCGAGGAGGGGTGCGGTGGGGGAGAGTGGGAGCCTGTAAGTGGCTGAAATGTGTGTACGAGGGGCCGTGAGGGCACGGAGAGGGGGCAGGGCTCGGTGAGAGGGGCTTTGAAGGCGTAAAGGAGTTGCAGAGCCCTCCGAGAGGGCCTTTGGGGGCCCACGGGTGGGGTGCAGGGCCATAGGGGAGGCTGTGGGTTAAGAGGCTGCCCGGGAGATGCACAAGGGAGTCTTGGGTTATTGAAGTGCCTTGCAGGAATCATTGCACACTGAGCACTGTCTCCAGCATGTGACATAGCCCAGGACTGGAAGTTCAGGAAACTTCTGTGTCTCCCGTCACGGAGCTGCTCCGACAGTCCCACTCCCGCCCCCCAGGCTGACACTGCTGGGACCGAAGCCCCTTTGCCATGGTGGCTCCAGTGACCCGAGGGGGCTCTGTTTGGCTCTGCTCACCCCACTCTCACAGTCAGACCAGGTTCCTCATCAGCTTGGCCCCAGGTTTCCTTTAAGGAACTAGAGGGTAGAACCCACCCTCAGCACACTGGCAGGTGACACGACAGAAGGTTAGGGACATCCAGGGTGACCTGGAAAAGCTTGAGAAGTGGGACCACAAGAACTTGATGAAGTTCACCAAGGCCAAGTGGAGGGGGCTGCACTTGGGTTGGGGCAATCCCAGGCATCAGCACAGACTGGAAAAAGGGCTGAGAGCAGCCCTGCAGAGAAGGACTTTGGGGGTTTTGGTGGAGGAAATGCTGGACATGAGCCAACAGTGAGCGCTGGCAGCCCTGAAGGCCAAGTGCATCCTTGGGGTGCATCAAAAGAGGGGTGGCCAGGGGGGTGAGGGAGGGGATGGTCGTCCTCTACTCTGGGGGGTTGGGATGAGATCATCTTTAGGGTCGTGTCCAACCCAAGCCATTCTGTGACCCTGTGATAAGATGGCTGCAGTTCCATTGTTCCCATCACAGCCCCCTCATGTCCAGGGACACAGGTGACAGTTCTCCAGAGCTGCTGAGGGTAGGAAGGTTCCAGAGTGGGTGTCACAGAGGCCAGACTGTCCCGGGGCAGGGGGGTCGCTCCCAGCACATTTCTGGCTGGGCTGGGTGAGTTCTGCTGGGGCAGAGCCGGTCCGGAGCAATGGGGCCGAGCCTGCTGGGAGCCACCATCCTCCTCTGCCTGGTTGATGTCCTCCAGGCCTTTGCCATTGAGAAGAAAGGGGATGTGTTCAAGAAGATGGCATGTCTCGCCTTCCTGACATTTGAGAACGTCGCCTACTTGGCAGACATGACCTTCAAGCTGCCCTGCAAGTGCAAGCCCAAGGAGGTCTCTTCTGTCATCTGGTACTTCCAGAAGAACCTGCATGGCCACGAGACCACGGTGCTGATGGACTTCAATGGCACCATGGTGCTCGACTCCAGCCACGTCCGCGCAGGCAGCGACCTGCTGAAGCGCTTCAGCATCCGCATGTTCAGCCTCATCATGTTCCGGGCCCAGGTGAGGGATTCTGGGCACTACCCGTGCGGCTCCAAGGAAGGGCGCTTCCCGTGCCTCCTGTGCCTCCGCAGCCCCGAGGTGGCCGTCCGGAGCTGCTTGGCGCTGTGCCCGCCCAAGGAGGTGCCTGAGGAGGGAGTCCAGTCCATCTCCAACATCATCTACAAGTTTGGGGAGAAGCCCGTGTCCCCATCCCAAACAGACCTGGTGATCACGTGCCCAGGGGCCTGCCTGGAGCACACCATGGGCTGGGACAAGGACTCGGTCTGGCTCTACTGCTCCCAGTACCTTGTGGGTGTTGGGAAGGGCATGAGGGTCTTCTTCGACCATGGGAACCACCTGCACATCCTGCGGGTGCGCAGGAGCGACAGGGGCACCTACTTCTGCTGGAGGGACAGCGAGATGATGGCGGGATTCTCGCTCAGCATCACCTTCCCGGCTCAGCACCGGCGTGGCCCCGAGTCCATCTTCATCATGAGGGCCATGGGCATCAGCTTCGCCGTCATCACCGGCATCTTCTTCCTCGCCCACCTGGGCCACTGCTGCTGGTGGGCACTCAGGAAACCGGCCGGGTTGTAGCGTCTCCTCTGCAGGGCACTTGGATGCCTCGGATCATCCTCCTGTTGGAAATCTCTGGTGTTCTGACTGTTTTTTCTTTGTTTTTGACTTTTCAAAGGAAATATATTTTTCAAATTAACCTGGTGATTAAACATCTCTGTTTCTGGGGCTGTTTTGAACTCGCCCAACTCAGCACAGAGTTGGGAGTTGATGTTTGAGGCAAAGCTTAAAGGCCACAGGGGCAGCATGGACCCCTCTCCCAGGCCAGGGCAGGGCAGCTCCTCAGCCTGCTCCAGGCTCCAGGGCCCCCCCAGGGAGCCCGGGGTGGCTACAGGGACACAATATGCACTCATGAGGATGAGCCAAACACTCAGTGATGACACCAGGAGCAAAGCCAGGGAAGGGATGTGACAGGAAGGGACAGAGCTACAGGAAACAATCAGCACCTCCCACACTTGGTGAGAGGAGTGGAGTACGGCTGTTTGGGTCCCTGAAGGGCAACACACCTACCCAGAGTGCCGGCCTGACCCCAATATGATCCACACATGGAGGCAGCCTGTATTAGGGAGGGTTCAAAACATATCGAATCTTGAAACCATGACACCGCTAAAAGCTTAACAAAATCCAATATTTATTACCAAGAGGTGGCCAACAAAACTAACAAACCCAAAAGGGAGGAAGGAGGAGAAAAATAAGCCCCCAGCATGACCTCCCCAGTTACCCAGCTGTTGCCCATAAAGTTATCTTACCGACCTAGCATGCCTATAATTACCCATAGCAGAAGCTGCATCCTTGGAGAGTCAGTAAGTTCACAAACTGGCAGGCATCCCCGCCAAAGGCAACGTTGTCCTTGAGGTAAAGCTAGCTCCCTCCAAGAAAGCACTGTCTGCTTTTATACAATTAACTGACTGACCACAACCTCCCAGGCGTGGCCAGCACCGCCCAGCCAGAAGCCCTCAGTCCCACCTCCCGGTTATGTAAGTGCATCTCTTCTGCGCACGCGTGAGAACTTCGGAAATCCCAGCGCACACGCAGTCTGCTTTGGGGGTCTTTCTTAATTGAGTCTGGGGGCGCTACTTCATCCTCCTCCTCCTCAATCTCTCCTTCAAGTGACCTTGG